TTAAGTAATACGTTAAGTTCGGTGTAGTTAAAAGGGAAATAAAATCAGTAATAAAAATACCATCCAATATTATCTAATATAATTAGAAATCATACGATTTTAATTTAAGATACACAAATTGTTTTAGTAACATTTCCATGTTGTTTTTTATGGCTTATATTTTTTCTCTCTTCATTATTTTTGATTGTTTTGAAGTAATATTTTTAGAATACCTTCCAACATAATTATTGCATTCTTTCTAATAATTATTATTTTTTAACAGGAACTTATTATATACAGGGTGGTCTGAACTGTATTCCGGAAACTTCGGCAGTATATTCCGCAGATAAAAATAAGTAAAAAAGTTCGTATAAATGTATGTCCTAAATTGCTTAGTTTCGGAGATACAGGGTGTAGAAGTTTCATTTTTATTTCGATTATTTCCAAATAATTTATGTAGTAACGTCAATTTCTGGATGAAAATTGGTGTCTGGAAATTTTTGGACATGAGAAATTTGATTTTGATGTCAATATAACTCCTACTAGTAGAGGACGCCACCTACATATTTTTTAACTGGTTTGAAGAGTAATAACTTTTCGTCCGTAGCAGTATAAACTACTGAGTAAAAAAATATACATTTAAGACGCTTTTTACGTAAAAAAGGTCTCTTGGTAAAAATCGCTACGAGTAACGGTTTTCGAGATATTTGGAATCGAAATTATCAATACCTGTCGTCACTGACATAAATTAAACATGTTGACTAAATAGTTATTGACTGAGATCATAAATTTGAAATGTTTTTGTACCAAAAGTTCAACAAAAACTGTTTTACCATCATTTTTTTGCAGAAAAACTATGATTAATTTAAAAAAATAAAAATTTCCCAAATTTATTATTTCAATGAAATAACTATCTACTCATCGTGTTTATTTTTCGTCAATAATGACATGTATTGACTATTTCCATTCTAAATATCTTGAGAACGGTTGCTCGTAGCGATTTTCACAAAGAGATCTTTTTTACGTAAAAAATCACAGGGATGTATATTTTTTCCCTCGGTAGTTTTATACAGGTACGGACAAAAAGTTATTTCACTTCAAAACAGTTAAAACACATGTAGGTGGCGCCCTCTACCAGTAGGAGTCATATTGACATCAAAATCAAATTTCTCATGTCAAAAAACTCCCAGACACCAATTTTCATCTTAATATTGACATTACTTCAGAAATTATTTGAAAAAAATCGAAATAAAAATGAAATTTCTACACCCTGTATCTCCGAAACTAAGCATATTAGGACATACATTTATAAGAACTTTTTTACCTATTTTTATCTGCAGAATATGCTGCCGAAGTTTCCGGAATACAATTCGGACCACCCTGTATATTATCAAAATGTATTCAATGTTCAACTAGTTGTTATAACCCACAAATGTATCGTTGTCTCTGGCTAATAATATATCCAAGTTAGTAAATTGTAAGAGCGCACAAAAAAAAGTTTTTGTCTTCCAAAGACAAAATTTGATACGTAAGCTCATAAGCCGGATTCTGACGACTTTTGTACTTGACAAACATTTGTTGTTGGCATACAGGGTCTGGCAATAGTGCATCGGACATCTGTTGATCACAAAAACTAATTTAATGGTAGTAATGGTCCTTTACATAAAGGGCAATTACTACCGCTTTCCCGTCCAAAATATTGTAATAAAGTTGCAATGAGTTTTTTACGGCTATTAAGCTATCTTGTACACTTCACACTAAAAGAGGTTCTAAAAAGAACAATTTTCGACATCAAGTCTATCGAAATCTAAAGTCTCTTAAAAATCTAAAGTTTTTTTTAAATTGAAGTTTTACATTCTATCCTTGTTTATACAAGGATTCTATTGAATCATGAACGTTTTACTACATATCATAAAAAAAAATTAAAAGCTCATTATTAAAAATCGAATGTTGTCGAACGTGTACGTAAATAAATGATGTCACAGTAAGGTTACAAAAGCTGTTTAAACTTCGTTGACATAATAACTACTTAAAACATGTAATTTGTTCATTGTCCTCTTTTGGTATTCAACTTAATGTAAAATACATTGAACTGTCATATTCAGTCTTGATGAAGCCATTTGCTACTCGCAAAGACAACGAAAATATGTAAGAAATTGTACAGGTAAATAATGGTTTTCTAGTATTAAGAATATTCTTGGATTTTATTTGATAGATTATACATATTTATAAACTTTCCTTATTTACTTATTACATAAATACTATATATCGCTGGCTATTTAGGGTCTATTCACATGTGTGTGTGTCATCAGTCACGTCTTGGCTTATTTACATTTGTCACTTTGAATGTACAACTTGGATGATAAGTATAAATTGCCTTTAATCACTGTTTCATCCAAAGTGTACACTAAAACTGAACGATGAAACAAGTGGACGGTCTTCCTACTTTTCTTGAAAGGGCGTTCAATGAATCGTTGATTTCTCTAGATTGAACGGCAAGTGAAAAATATAAACAACCGACGCCAACTCGTGCGGCCAACCTCGATATAAAAAACATTGCGAACTGGATGAAAATATGTAAACAAGGATGTTCAATTTGGATGAATTCAATCTGAGTGTTTCATTTTGGTTGTACATCCAAAGTGACACAGTGTAAACTCTGCTTTAAGCTTTTTTTAATTTTTCACTTGCCGTTCAATCTGGATGAATCAACGGTTCGTTGAACGCTTCTTACAACAAAAGTAGGAAGACCGTCAACTTGTTTCATCGTTCAATTTTAGTGTACACTTTGGATGAGACAGTGATGAAAGAAAATGTATCCTTATCACTTTGGATGATTCATCCAAGTTGTACATCCAAAGTGACAAATGTAAATGAGCCTTTAGTTCCATTTCGTCAGTAGCAAAATAAAAACACTAATTCACCACAATACACTAAAACACTTTATTTTTACAATGGACGCGCATTATTAGCAGACGATTAAAACTTAATTAGGCACCTCAGTTTGAATCATTTGCTAACGATGCTTAATAATAATATTATTACGTACGTTAATAATAATTAATAATTTAATTCTGAAACCAAGGGTGGAACTCTGTAACTAAATAGCGATGGGTAGTGATGAAAAATACTGTCGCTTGATGTTTAGTTTCTACGTCCAACTCAAAAGGTACAAGGATATATTTTCCACGAAAACTTGAAGGGGATTAACATGCAGAATGAACGGGAAAAAGCAGCTCACAATAGAACAGAATGGAGAATTGTAAGCTCAGTTAACACCGATAACCAAAAAGTAAAAAGACTATATGAATATAATAGGTATATGAGGTTTTTGAATGTCTGGAGTGCGGTAGACAGATAACATGACGTATCGGGCTTTTCAGTCACAGAAAAGCTCATGAAAGAAAACGCCTTGCGTGACCATCTTCTGATGCGTGTCAAATACTCGTCAGCGAGTAATGGCAGTATGTATGTATGTCAAAGGACAGGATTGTTCATCGCTACCGATAGCTATTTGTAAAGATCTATTGTGTCCCCCTTCTTTGAGTTGTAACTCATCACAAAGTCTATAATCCATCAAACCCCTGTTGCAGAGGGGACAGGGTATATATTACCACCCTGTAGATACGAAGAAAGTACAATCGGACCTATGTTGAAATGAAAAATAAATCTTATTTTAACGTGAGGAATCTCCCCACGAGAGATGGCATATGTTTTTTGAAATACCCTGTATATGAACCGAAATGTACGGGATTGTTGACAGAAACAACAGATCTCTATCTTTTTTCGTCTATGTACTTTTGTGATGTGTGACAAGTCACGAAAATTGAGTTTCTTTTTTTAATTTTGGCACACTGAGCTCAAAAGGTTTACCATCACTGCCTTAGGATGTATTCAAAAACTAACTGCGGAAGTTTTAAAATCAGATGAATACTGTGATAGAAGAACGTGACCTGCATGCTAGGCGTTATGTGGAGCAACCAATGACTAAAGAATCCAAGGACAAATAACACCCGAGAGCAAATTGTGACGATGCCATCAAACAGTGCCGTGGCATATATTTTTCTTGACCTAGCAGTTTGTAGCAATATTTATATTTTTTGATAATTGTTTTGACTACGCCTATGGTGTATCATCCTAATTAATTACGAAAAAAACGTATTAAAATGTTAACAAAAGGTACAAAACTAGTATCGACGTATAGCACATATCAAGTATATATAGATATTAATTGAAATTGAAGAATAATTATCGAATTCAATAAGAAAACGCTAAAAAGTTGGAGTGGACTGTTTATTTACCTATGAAACGTAACTCCTGGCTCTTTCTTATCGCTGCTGCTTTTACACTTGAAAGCTGTACAACTAATCACCATTATAATAAAGTTTATACAAAGTTTACTACACACAAACTATTAAAAATCGCTAAAATTGTCGGAAATGATGACTCATTGTTTGCCACCAAAACAAAAAAAAGGTCACAAATTCTGCTGCAGCCCGTATAGGGGCGTTACATGTCTTTATATTCTTTAGTCATTGGGAGCAACTGTTTTATTTTCAACCATATTATCATAGAGAAATATAAAAATTTTTAGTTACTTTATGCATATTATATTATGATTTTGGCTCCCCCTGAAACTGTCATCATCAACTTTCAGTTTCAATATTTGCATTATCTGTGGTTTTTTAACTTCTCAAAAATAATTAGCATAAAAATATGTAAACAATTCAAGTAACCAATTATTGTAACCACATAATGGCATGTAATGACTAAATAATATTGTTGTCACACTAGCATAACATCACGTGTCGGTTTTTTCTTCTACAGGTATATTCATAGACATGAAATATTATTTATAGATGAAAAAGCTCGATATAGATCGTAATTTTTCCGTTATGACGTGGATCGCATATTGGCTGGCAAAATCTGGCAATGAAAAACCGACACCAAAATAGATTGTTTGTTTTTATTCGGTACTTTTATTTTGTCACGATTTTTAACAGACGACAAACATTACGCGGACGTAAACGTAGCCATTAGAATCTGAAAAACGTAAATAAGATATAGTTTGGTCAGTATCAGTTTGATTTTGGCGTTTCTAATATACAGTGCTACTCAAATGACGGTTACTAAATTAAAAACTATCTATGTTCTCATACCACTGTATACATAGATATGTCTACTAATAGATCTCAGATAGAAGTTCAAATAACAAATTGCAGGTAGGTTTGGTTTGGTTCAATTTGATGAAACACTAATAGTCTAAGATGGCGGTTACATTACATGAGAATTTTCGTAAAAAAGAAGCTAATGCATGCTTTGACATCATCACTTTCATACAGGGTGGTCCGAACTGTATTCCGGAAACTTCGGCAACATATTCTGCAGATAAAAATAAGTAAAAAAGTTCTTATAAATGTATGTCCTAAAATGCTTAGTTTCGGAGATACAGGGTGTAGAAGTTTCATTTTTATTTAGATTTTTTCCAAATAATTTCTGAAGTAACGACAATATTTGAATGAAATTGAAATTGGTGTCTGGAAGTTTTTTGACATGAGACATTTGATTTCGATGTCAATATGGTTCCTACTTGTAGAGGGCGCCACCTACATATTTGTTAACTGGTTAGAAGAGTAATAACTTTTCGTCCGTACCTGTATAAAACCAGTTAGTTAAGAAATATACATTTACGACGTTTTTTACGCAAAAAAGGTTCTTAGTAAAAATCGCTACGAGTAATGGTTCTCGAGATATTTGTAATCCAAATTACCAATACCTGTCATCATTGACATAAATTAAACATGTGGACTATAAATAGTTATTAGACTAAAATCATAAATTTGAAATGTTTTTGAGCTAAAAGTTTAACAGAAACTGTTTTATCATCATTTTTTCGAAGAAAAATTTATGAATAGTTCAAAAAAATAAAAAGTTCCCAAATTTCTCATTTCAATCAAATAACTATCTACTCAACATGTTCATTTTAAGTCAATAATGACATGTATTGACTATTTCCATTGTAAATATCTTGAAAACGATTGCTCGTAGCGATTTTTACTAATGAAATATATATTTTTTCACTCAGTAGTTTTATACAGGTACGGACAAAACGTTATTAACAATATATCTTCAAAACAGTTAAAACACATGTAGGTGGCGCCCCCTACAAATAGAAGTCATATTGACATCAAAATCAAATTTTTCATATCAAAAAACTCCCAGACACCAATTTTCACCCAAAAATTGACGTTACTTCAGAAATTATTTGTAAAAAATCGAAATAAATATGAAAATTCTACACCCTGTATCTCCGAAACTAAACATTTTAGGACATATATTTATATGAACTTTTTTACTTATTTTTATCAGTAAAATATGCTGGCGAAGTTTGCGGAATACAGTTCAGACCACCCTGTATATTCAGATACTCTGTAGTTGGGCCCATTTTTGACTATTATTGGCTATGGGGGCCTAAGTTATCCATGCTAATTTCCTAATATCAAGATCCCATCTCAGCTTTGATCCTCTTCTAGGTCTCTTAATTCCTCGTGAGTACCATGGGTACCTGTAATTTTTGTGCTCCATCTGTTGTCCATCCTTCTTGCCAGGTATCCTGCCCATTGCCACTTGAGGGATTTAATACTGTGGATGACATCCATTACGTGGATCTTCACGTAATGGATGTCAATCAACAATAGTATTAATAGGCATAAAAATACATTTTACAATTAAATATTAAATAGACTTTGTCAGGAGTAATTTCCCCTATTTCCGTTTTCAATTCTCCCTTTATATTTCTATATATTATTTACATAAAGAGCAGACCACAACTCATTTTCTTTTGCTTTTTTTTAATACAAATTTATTGAAAGGTTATATTCCATAACGACTATAAACTTTTCAATTCTATATTTGATAAACGATCAATATACACAAGTTTGCATCCATCAATGTAACCAGTACCTAAAGTTATAAACGACGCCATTAATTGTTTAATCTGCATTTAGTAAGGTTCAATTGTTGTAATAAGTGCCATTGGTATACAAACAGTGTTATCTTAGCAAAAAGTTGCAATCTCAGGTTGCAACTTGCAACAGAGAATAAACCATTGCCAACTGCATGACCTGTACAGCAGATTTTCTTAAAAATTACTTAAAAATTATATTGTGATAAATTTTCATAAAACCTGTTTATTTTAACACCACAACCACATGAATTAAACCAATGTTTTGTAAAATGATAACATTTGGAGCATAACAAAAATAATTATGCACTTTCAACGCCTTAATAATTCAGTTATAATCTTTAAAAACGGGATAGCTGTGTTACTAACAACAAATGCAGTAGCAATACGTTTTCTATTTATTTATTCTTCATTGATTTCGAAAAGCCTTCTTTTATTTTGCGACAATCGAAATCTTCATTACAAATTCTGGCATTATTATATATAGTCGTTGTTGATAAAATCTCATTTTTGAGAAGAATATTTCCATTTAGATTCCATTAGTCATGTGGCATTTTGATATTTTCAATTTTATTTTTTAGTGGCCAAAATCAACTGCCACAAAAATTCTTTAAAAATAAAATAGTTATCCAGTTTTTGGTAAAACGCTCAATAAAAAGTGAATTGTATTGCGGATTTTACTAACTAAAGAAAAAAGGGAAGAGGTCATTGCATTGTGAATATATTTATGGAGATAACTATCGACATAATAAGTCTTTTGTATTCATTCAACTATACCTACTCCAATATTCCGAATATAAATTTACAGGTTGCGTTACTGAATATCGGGATTAGACCAGTTTACGCTATTTTTAGTTTGTATAATACTTAAAGTTTCCAATCAGTAATAGAAACTAATTTTAGTTTACTTGCACATATTGATCAATATTGTCTAACATATTTTTTTGTTTATAGCAAAGTTTACAGAATATACAATATACCTAGTAGGTAAATATAAAAAAATATAATATAGTAAACTTTGGTTATAGTTTTATGGATTTTTTATTTTTCAAATAAGAATTATGAGATAGTAATTAAGATCTACTATACTAAGTCTTACTATACATTTAATTAGAAGTGTTATTAGCACTTTCCTACAGTTTATAGTGAAGTAGTGAATTTATCAGGGATTCAACATTTCTATATACATATGTATACTATTCTATTTCTTTTATTATGCGACATTATGCATTTTTTATTTGATTATAGAAATAAGTATCTAATATCCTATATAATAGGATAAAAACTTGTTCTAATTTACTAAATTATTCATGATGACCAGTAATTTTAGAGGATATTTACTTATAATTTATTTCACAATTAGTATAATCAGGGAATTTATTTATATTACTCTAATAATTTAGTACAAAATTATATAATTTTGGTAAAAAATAGTAACAATTTTATAAAAAATATATATTTTCTATTATAGGTAACAATTTCGTATTTAATTCTCTGAAATTTCTATATTTAATAATAATTCACTACTGTATTTTCACTATTTTTGAAATTAGATTAACTAAAAAAGAAATTATAAATTTTTTTGATATTTAAGCGTATTTGCTTATGATGATTAAACAATAGAATAATGGGGGAAGTTTATATAATTACCACACAAGAGCATAAAACCTATCCAAGTATTACAAGGTGTGGAATAATAATAATTATAGATGAAACAACTGGCGATATCATAATTTACGTTAAATTTAGTATCAATTTAGTATTACATACAACTGAGAAAAGTAACAAATTCATCCAGTTTTATATTTGAGAAGTCCGAACTCAATATTGTTTTACCAGTTTCATAAGTTTAATTATTTTAATTTGTTACAGGCCAGTCCTCAAACGATGTTTCTCCACGATCGAGCCTAAATTACCAAGAGATTTTTGGATCAGTTCCTTAAGAAGTACGTCCCGAACTTCCGGTAATTGATGAGAAGTCACAGGAACAAACGCATCCTGTCCACCATACCAAACATTCAGCTGGGACGCGATCCAAAATTAAGCCTTCAAGGCTGGTCCAAACGTTGGATGAGAATTTCCAAATTATTTAGTATCTATCTTATCCCAGTCAATTGAACGATTGCATCTCTCTAAGTGTATTTTTGGTTATTGCTTGCGGTCCTGCGAGTAGATTTTTTATATCGCTGTTTTTATCATGGAATCGAACAACAATTTTGCTCCTATCGTGTCCCTGGCAGCGGTAGCGCCCTCTTTGGATTCATCTCCCACCAAATCTCCCCAAAACTGTGTTGTGCCTTTGGAGTTGAACGAGAAAAATGAAGTTCGATTTGACACTGCGTCTCTATCCACACGATCATCTTCACCTTCTTCATCTAGTTCTGAAGAGGACGATCAACCCAAGATACCTGATGGAGGCTGGGGATGGATGGTAGTGTTTTCATCAACAATTCTCTCAATGATTGCCGATGGTATCAGTTTCTCCTTTGGACTTTTGTACGGAGAATTCCTCAAGGAATTCAACGCTTCTAACAGTGCTACCTCATGGATTGGAAGCTTGTTTCTGGCAGTGCCTCTTTTAACAGGCCCTATAATGAGCGCTTTAGTTGACAAGTATGGATGCAGATTGATGACTATCGTCGGAGGCATTATTTCAGCGATAGGCTTCATTATTAGTTCGAAATGTTCCTCGATTGGACTGATGTATCTTAATTTTGGAATTTTATCCGGTCTTGGATTGGGATTATGTTATGTGACAGCGGTTGTATCAATCGCTTTTTGGTTTGATAAAAAACGTACTCTAGCTGTTGGTTTAGGAGCTTCCGGTACTGGGATTGGTACCTTTGTATTTTCACCAATAACAAACTTCCTGATCAACGAGTACGGATGGAGAGGTACTACATTGATTTTAGGTGGATGTTTATTAAATATATGCGTTTGTGGAGCACTGATGAGAGATCCTGATTGGATTATTGAGCAGAACAGGTAAGATATAGAGCTATTTTTTTAATTAAAATAACTTTGTTACTTAAGAGTCTATTACGCTGTACTGTTCGTGTCGCTCTCAGGAGCCGGTTAAAGCGGGTGTGTGGCCGAAGGAAATATATATTATATTTCAGAAATCTTCCTAAGGCTTGGCTCGATCCTGTCGTGTTAAGCCACATCGAAAATATCAAACACACGTACTTTGATTAAGGCTTGATTTAGGTTTACAGAGCTTCAGTATTTGCCATAAAATAGCAAATAGCATTTTGTTACAAACCGTATAAATTATATACCACTGTAATCATGAAATTTAAAACTATTTCCGTATTGTAACGGAATTTTAAATCATTTCTTTATTTTCGAGGAAATTTAGTCCAAACATAAGGAATATTTTGTTGATGTTTGACCATCAAAATCTTAAAAATAAAAAAGTTATCTAAAAATGTGCTACAATACGGATATAGTATAATCCTTTATCTTTAATTTCCTTCTTCATTTGTGTAAAAATAGCTAACCAGTTTTACATAAAACGTTAAATGCGGAACGCTTATTTTGCTACTTTTTCGGTCTAGTGAAATGGATATTTAATACAGTACTAGTACTAAACTTATACTGAAATACTTATATGTAAACGGCATCAAAGACGGCTGCAGAATGACAATCGATGAAAATTTTAGCAAGGTCAATCTCTAGACGACATTAACTAAAAATTGACATAGAAAAAATTAACACTAATTATAGAGAAATTATAAGAAGATAGGGCCTTTCCAGACACACAATTCTATTTACCAGAACTTATTTTTTCTATTTATTTTAAACTACACTATTTAAAAATATTTTTTAATAAATTACAACCTTCTTAAGGTCAACTGGCAGTAGGCGCCATTAAATATAAAGGGCACGGGCTAAATAAATGACGTATAGGGCTTGACCTCCCCGAAATTATCATCGATTTTCATTCATCAGCCGTACATGACGCTGTTTCTTTTCGATTTGTATTTTGAATTGTCTATATATTTATTCATGTACATCGTTTAAAAAATAGAATGTCATGCGTTGTTAAAAAGTTAAATTATCAAATATGTTAGATTATATTAGAATCATTTAAGCACCAAGTCAAAAGACCTAAATTTCAGTTGTGTAAAGTTCAGTGTTATTTAAATGTGGAGTCAAATGGAATGCAGTAAACGAAGTAAACAAAGTCATTCATTGACAAGGTTGCTGCTATTTATTTCTATTTTCCCTGCTCTTTCCCAACATAACTGTAGGTAATCAATTGTGTAAAATGTATATTAATATATATTTAGCATGAATAGAATCGTAAACATAATTAGCATAATTTAAAATATGCATACTTACATGAAATAGCAAATGTATTAAAAATAATTTTTTAATTAGTTATATTGCTGATAACTAATTTTAAACATATTTATATGTGTAGCAATTCTGGAATATTAGATGTTTAACATTTATTACCCATAACGTGAAGACACTTACTCAATAATCTAATGTTAAAACAAAGTAAAATCAGTATTTTTATTTCATACTAGCAATAAAAGTAAAAATAACAACAAATTATGAAGAATTAGATAATATAAAACACTTTGACATTTTAAATTGTTTTATTTTTAGCTACACGTGACATAAATAAAAATCTTTATTTGTTTTTCTTTCCAATATACCTAATATTCATTGACTGGCTGCTTTATTTATCTTAACCTTAGTCAGTATCTTAATTTTAGACATTTAATTGAAGTTTATTAAAACGATACATCACATGATGGCATTAATCTTAATCTTAGCTTAACTGTTTTGATCCATAAACTAGTTCCAATTACTTGCATTCTTCTGTTTTTGTATTTAATTTAGCGATTACAATCAAGAATGCTTTCTTTTGTAGTAAACCGTCAAAAAGATCTAAATCGGAGAAATCAAGTAAAACCAGTTTGGAATCAGTAACATCAGGGAGTAATTCCATAGATCTGAATGAGTTAAAGCATCTATTAACCAGTGGCAAAGATGTAGAATTTTTGTTGCAAAAATTGGAAACATCACTGGATAATAATGAGGATAAAGCAAAGTTAAAGAAATATTTTAGTTCTGCTTTAAATTTACCTACCTTTATCAAACAAAATGAAAAGGTACTGGTTGAGTCTTGCAAAAGAAACTTTTACCAATTCTATACGTATATACTTTTAGGTGCCTTTGGAAGTTTTAGAATTGCTGAGCGGTAACAAAAAGTTGTATAATGTAATTTTACAAAACTACCCTAGCTTATTGATGAGTAGAAGCACATCACTTGATAACACTTTAAATAGAATCAAAGATGCACCAATAGATAGAGTTCCAGTCACCTTAAATATGAAACTCAAACGAGAAGTTAGACCAAAATTATCTGAAATACATCAGGTAACATCATTTTTAGACATATATATTATCATTCATTAATTTATATGATGATGTGTAATATATTTTCCCACCTAATAGAACTTTGAATTAAGTACCTACAGTTAAAGTATTGAGTTGTTTTTCATGACATTAAAATAACTTCTAGATCACACTCCATTGTGAATAATGCGACTATAGTGTTACTTATTTATTTATTTTTTGTTCCATTAAGGTTTCATTGCCTGAAAACCATGAACCATTACCGGAAGAACCTCTAATGGGTTACAAAAACCCTAGAATGCCTCCTAATGCTTCGTTTCCACGTCTCAAGCAAGCCTGGCATTATACGCCAAAGCACGATACTTACTTCAAGAATTTAAAAGTGCATAGACAGTCCCTGATACATAGAGGAGCTATATTCAACATGAACAAATACAGATTTAAAGCTTCCAGTTGTCCAAACATATACAGAGTCTCTATGATGTCTTTACCAAAAGAAAAGGAAGAGGTAAGTTGGATAGTAAATGTGTGTAGGCAAATCTTTGACTGCTATTCGTTGTTTATGATAAGAATCTATGAATCTATGAATATTAAGCAGTTCAAACGATTAGCTATATAGCAGGCATTCAACAATAAATCGCTTCATGTAAAACAAATCATCACTCCTTTTAGAAATGGTCTACCGAAATAGTTGATTTGGTGAAGGGCATGTTCGACTATTCTTTATTCTTAGAGCTACATTTTTTCTTGCTGTCTTTGTCAACTATAATCCTTTTTGTTTGGTTTATAGTGCCGTATTTTTACGTGGCAGAACTCATGCTCAAACATCACTACACCATGGAAGACGCCTCGTTCACTATATCGAATATTGGTATTGCTAATACTATTGGAATGGTATGTATTTACTTATCTTCCTTAATAAGCCTTTCTTAAATAAATTACTAATATTTTAATTTTAGGTGTTTCTTGGATGGGCTGGTGATAGATCATGGATGAACATAACCAAAACCTACGCAGTGTGTCTAGTGTTATGTGGAATCTCGATAGCAGGGATTATGATGTTTATTGAGAATTTTCTTGTAATGGAGATATGGGCATCATTGTTTGGTTTGTTTTTGTCAAGCACCTTTTCATTTACGCCAGGAATTTTGGTGGAATTGGTACCATTAGAAAGATTTACCATTGCCTATGGATTACAGTTGTTATGCATGGGTATAGGCATCTTATTAGGACCACCTTATGCGGGTATTTTTTTGTTTTTTTTTTAATTTAATATTTTCACTTATTTCTATATTTTTTTAGGATTGCTTTATGATCAGTCGAAAAGTTGGCAACAACCATTCTACCAAGCGGCAATTTGGACTGTGCTTTCGGGCATATTTATTGGTTTAATTCCTTATACAAAGAATAGAAAAATTATTGGAAAAGGTCCCGTTGAAAAAGAAATAGAGGATTCTGAAGATAGGCTTATACCTATTATAGTTCAAATAGTAATCATGGTCATTCTTGTAATTTTCGTTGCTTACTTAACAGTACAAAGTTTTGTAAATACGACTCCAATATTCCCAGAAAATAACTAACAAATCATTTTTGTGATATTCGCTAAATTCTTCCATTTCTTAGAAAAACAAGTAGTAGTTTAAGATAATACAATTTTTTTTTAATTTTCCAGTAGGAAATAAGTGAGTTATTTAATACACTGTAAAGTATTATTGATTTGCAACAAGTATTAGTAGATACTTAATTTTACTCTTAAAATGTATTTCTATATAAATAGGCCTAAGTCAAATTGATTAAAATAACACAATATTGGTGCTTCTAAGTGCTCTTTAACGAAAGCGTAGAGCTGTCATACCAACGTTGAAAAATATTTTTAGCATAATTTACAGCTTTTCTATGAATTTATACTTTTTCTGTAAATTCTAAATTTACACTTTCTACACACAGTGTATATTTACACAAAATATGTAAATTTACAAAAAAAGTGTAAATTTACAGAAAAAGTGTAAGTTTACAGAAAGAATGTAAATTTATTTTTTATATAATAATTTACAGAAAAAGTGTAAATTTACAGACAAACTGTAAATTTACAGGATAACTGTAAATTTTGCTAAGCTAAATTGTCAGCGTTGGTATGGCAGCTCTATGCTTTTGTATTTTTCTATATATTATGAAAACCAGAAGTTTGAGTATGAATTTTATATGCCAATCTTTGATTTTTGTTGGCACCATTATAATTAGATTGTAGTTTTTGATTTGTTTTCCATAATTTAGTAGGTTTGTTTGCTTAAAAATATTAGTGAACGTAAATAGTTAAGTTCAATTAAATCAGGATAAAAAAAATCAAAATACATATTGTGTTTTATTGGGGGTGTGGTATATTATTAAATACTTAGAATATAATAGACGACATAAATTCACAATAATTTTCGTTATAATTTGTGCTGGAAAATAGTTGTTTGTTTTATTCTTCAAAAACGTGTCCTGTATTAAGGAAAAAATACTAAACTATAGTACCAATAAATTCTAATTTTTAACGATAAAGCAACAATAAATTTAGATTTCAAATTCAATTTATTGGCTCAATTGACAGATTAAAAGGAGAAATAAAGATAATACCTATCACACTTTCAAAATTTGCGTAATCCATTCAACCTATATCTATGCTTATAAATGCTTCAATATCTGTGACTATTACAGTTTTAAAGATTTTATTTTAATTTGTTTGGGCTGTATATTATTAGTAATATAGTATTATATAAAATTATTTTTGTTCAAAACCTTGAATTTATTTTATTCATTAATTCATATGCAATATATTAGTATTACATGTTTTTAATAATATTCTAAATTTCGTATCATAATTTGAAACTATAAAACACTTTTACACGACAGTTTAAATAGGTAAAAAGGGTATAATTTATAGCGGGACGTAGTGATTAAGCTGCAATAAATATGTTATGAAAACATAATGAAATTACACAGAACCAAACTTATATGGAGTCACTCTTTATTTCTGACTAACTTTCATGCAAGGAAAACAATTAGTATACAACTTTAAGATAAGGCTTTTTGTTGCAAATTAACATTATAAAAAATAAACGACTGCTGCGATTTATTCTCTTTTGAATTTTGTGGTCAGTAGTAAAATCACGATTGTCTGTTAATTTTCATTCAGTTTAAAAAAAATAAAATAAATGCCTTATGTTGGATTAACAGATGTACCATTGCGATAAAAAAAAAGTAGTACAACAAAATATGACTTAATCTGCTGGTCTATAATAAAATATTTTCTTTCAAACTGATAACTCAGTGTCATCAGAATTTTTATACTTTTATTTCGCCACGTATACCAATTATTATTACCAAATCCATGGTAACGCCTAAAGTTAGGTGGCATAATTATATCATATCATATATCGGTGGCATATCGATATCCTTATAGACCAGGAGTTCTATCTGGGACTTCTAATTCTTGTACTACTTTTTTTTATCGCAATGGTACAGAGGGAAAGAATTATTGCTCTCATTGAAGAAGGAATGCCCCAAAGAGACGTAGGCGAGATAGCAGGCATTACCCAGTATGTTGTATTGAAAACACATGCAAGGTATCTACTTGAAATTAGAAACACACAAGGACAGGTCCAGACAAAGTCGTCAAAGAGTCACAACTGAACAATAAGACCGCCTTGTGTGCCAAATTGCTAGAAGAAATTCTAATGTTTCTCATCTAGAGCTACAAAGACAACTTCTGGCAGCTACAGGTGTGAACGTTTCAGTAGAAATCGTGTTTGTACTCGGGGGTTTTACAGCAGGAGAGAGTTACGGATCGCAGACTTATCTCGGCAAAATAAAATTGACCGGCTAAATTGATGCATTCAACATCAAAACTAGACAACTGAGAATTGGCACAATGTTCTTTTTTCAGAGGATACCAGAATTGGCCTAAGATCAGATAACCATCGAATTCGGGTTCTCAGAGCTCCAAAAAGACGAGCGAGACTCCAGGCTGCCAAATTTGTTCCAAGATATAAAGGAGGAACTGTAATGTTCTGGGGAGATATTATGCTGGGAGCAAAAACTCCATTGTTACCACTTCAACAAACGTTAACGGGCCGGAGGTACGTTGATTAAGTGCTAGAACCAATCGTTAGTCTTTGGAGAGCTACAATTGGGGATAATTTTAACTTCATGCACGATAGTGCACCTCCTCATACAAGCAGAGTGACTAGAGAATGTAGTGAAAAGGAAGGTGTCATAGTTTTGGACTGGCCTGCATGTTCCCCAGATCTAAACTCTATCGAACATTTGTGGGACCAGCTCAAAAGAAGGGTTAGAGCTCGTCGAAACAATTCAGGAAATCTCGCACAGCTTATTGATACAGCATTAGCAGGATGGGAAAACATACCCCAAGACAACGTTGAAATTTAATAAGAAGCATGCCAGCGCGGATAGAACCTTGCATACGGGTTAGAGGTGGCAAAAAAGAATACTAAAATTATCAATTTTCTTTTTGTTTTTGCTTTTTGGCCATTAAAAATTTAAATCTTAATTTCATTTCAGACCAATAAAATACCATTGTGTTTATTTTGGGAACTGATTTTTTTTATTGCTATATGGATTATTTTTCATTAAAAATCACTGGTAAGGACTGAGTTTTATTCATAAACACAAAATTTTCATACGTCTCAAAAATTATGAAAAATAATAGATGATTCCATATAAGTTTGGTTCTGTGTATTTGTGGCCTCTGTCAAATACCGCTATCACAAAGATTTAGAACCATATCATAATCACGCTAATTCATTTAAATGGCGGTGCTATATTTATAATCAATTATCACTCTAACAGTGTGCCTTCGCTTTATCAATATCCAACATTCTATAATTAAATATAAAAATTAATATAAACCATGGTAACATAAATGTTAGATTCCCATTTATCATTATATCAGATAATGCATTCTCCTAAAACTAAATCCTAGGTCAACTTTTAATCACAAACACACAAAAGCAATGGTCTTCACATAACATATAACATATACAAAGGTAATACATAGCAAAATAAAGTCTGCAGGTTATTCAATTACATAAAAGAAAATACAAATAATTTAAGATATACAAGGTAAAACAATAAAAGGACCGAAGCTAAAGCTATTACGCTGGTTTAAGATACACTTTTAAACAATTGAAATATGAATGAAGATATTAAGCAGCATAGATTTAACAAATGATAAATAACATTGTACTAAATATAGTCAACATATAAAAACAGAGATATAATCGAGATGGGTTCTTAATGGCATACCGAGATATGATTTTAAAAGTCACTATTTCTTAATAATAAACCGTACTAAACATAAGATGTATATTCTGTTATTACTTACATATGAACTTACGCTTGAATAAGAAACATAGCAAAATAAGAAAGAACATTTAGCATGGAGTACTTATGGAAGAAACTCAGTCATATTCAAATCTAGAATCTATATATCTAGAATATCTAAAGAAGAAAACATTCGACCAATGTGTACTTGTACTACCAGTCGAAACTCCAAGTCGCACAATAGAACGATATGCTGGGAGTAATCAAGAGAGACTGTAAATGAATAGAGTGGATAAGTCACAAGGCCAGGTAATCATCTATGCAGGTAATAGAGGTCATCCACGTAGTCAAATATATCCCTCAAATGGCAATGGGCAGGACACCTGGCAAGACGAACGGACAACAGATGGACCACAAAAATTACAGCATGGTACCCACGAAGAATTAAGAGACCTAGAAGAAGACTGAACCTGAGATGATGATGAACCATTGTATTAGGAAATTAGCAGGGATAACTTGGGCCCGCATAGCTAACAATAGACAACAATGGGCCCAACTACAAAGAGAGTATGTGAGGGAGGCTATACCATAATTGGAAATGGTTGAATAAGCTGAAAATGGTGATGATGATGATGATGATGATAAAAAAGAGAGTGGCATAGAGAGTAACAAGAATGGTAGAAGAGATGCAAGATATTCAACAAGATCACTAGAAGTCATTAGAACAATTTGAAGGTTTATTGTTGATGAATTGATAACAATTGGCAATATAACATAATGGCTTAGTCAAGGTGCCAATAATTAGTATGGCCAATAAATGGTATCTGTTATTTAGAAAAGGGAATCAATTTAGGAGTAGTAGGACTTAAAAATAGATACTTTAATGAGATGTACTGTAACTGCTGAACAAGAATTTGTGTTTGGTTTGGTTTAGAATTGTTAACAAGAATTACAAGTTATTTCAAATGTGACGAATACTTTTCATTAACTTTTTAGTATTTGTTCATATACTAACAAGTTAATGAAACTTATTCGTTCAATAAATAGTACATTTTTACGTTAATTTTTACATACCAACAAAAATTTTTACTCTTAAGTTGATTAACACTTTTTCATTCACTACTTTAATTCTTACTCTATTTTTATCATTCTTCTACAAATACTTCAACAAGACTAACAATTAACAGCAATGTAAATATATTAAATTAAATTTATTTATAATTATAATCATAATACATAAACAATTGTTAATTAAATATTTCCATACGCATCTTCTAATAAGTACGAGTTGAGTTTTATGTAAAACATGAATTGTATGTTCAAGCTGAATGTTGACAGAAAATGTTATCTCCGAATTAATAATCTAGTTATTTGACTAACAATTAGCACAGATAAAGCAAGCAAAAGACTTTTTATATAAAGCTATCATTAAAACAGTGAGTGACATCCAGGTACAGATTAATGTCTGTTACATAAATATCGTTTAATATTTCATAATTTCGAATGCTACTATAAATATATAATGTTTATAAACAAAGTATTATTACAAAACAGAAGTAAATTCAATTGAAAATTACCGCTGACCTTGAAGGTAAAAATTAAACGAGTATCCAAATTTGTTTCATAACTGGTTTTGAAGTCATTGGTATAGGCAAAGAAGATACGTGTGTTCTTATTGATCAATTATTATGCTAGGTAAGTACCTTTTCTTTTAATAACCTTAAGCTATTTTTAAAGCAATTAGCTATACAGACTATTGAAATAAAAACTGAATATTTTGATGTTTATAAATGATTGATTTACATGAAATTATGCAGATTAAAAATCAATAATCAATTTAAAAGGAAAATGTTATCAATTTCGATTAATACACTTAATATGTAAGTGCTTTTCAATTGAATTCATTGACCTTTAAAGTAGGTTTGGCTTGTTCAAAGAAATGTGTGACTGTGTTCCAATATTATTTGATTATGGATGCATGTCTGTCTAGTCTGTCCAACGCGAGGGTCATTTTAATTAACAAGCGAATTAAATATGCTGTCATTTTTAAGATATCGTCTGTCGAAATCTTTCCTGACTTTTAATTCAAATAACTAATAAAAACTATTATAGTTATCCCACAAAAGTCTGTAATTCTTCTACACATAATATTGTTCAAATATGAACATATTTTTAAAAAATTATCATATAATTTTATGAAAAAAAATTTGTTCCCGGGAGGCACGTATAGCCGCCCATACTAAAATAATTTATTAATAAAAAGTTGATAGGCAGTTCTTTTAGTTTCAAAAAAACAGGAATTTTTTCGATTTTTTTTATCTCAAAAACTGCGACTTTGACTGATTTTGATGTTATTACAAATTTTGTTGCAAATATTATTCTTAATCTTAAATTGAAAACCGCGTTTCACTAGCTACTGTAATTTTGGAGTTACGATTTCCTAAAATTTTTAACCCCCTCCCATACCCCCTTACCAACCCCCCAAACCCACCAAAAATTAATGGTCAAATTTTCGGGTGCCACAGTATTTTTGTGCCAAATTTGGTTAAAATCGGTTTAGCGGTTTTTGAGTTATCGTGTTACAGACGGACAGAGAGACAGACAGACACCATGAAAATATTTTGTTATTAGGCCATTTATGACCCAAATAACTCATTTTGAGTGAAATTAAAAAAACTTTTTTTTTGCCGATCTTAATAGCCTACCATACCTATGGGTATGGTCGGCTAAAAAAATCACACACAAATACTCTATTAAAAAGGGCATTCATTTAATATCAAGAAATAAATGTTATTTGATGTTAATAAATATTAACCAAATATGAAAAATTACGTGCTTTTTTTGGACATTTTTGTGTGTGTATACAGGGTGGTCCGAATTGTAATCCAGAAACTTCGGCAACAGATTCTGCAGATAAAAATAAGTAAAAAAGTATATACTGGTGTATTCCTGGGCGGGATATTACACCGGGTATTTACAATGCGGTTGTCGGGAGCTTTTTTTATAAAATTATGGTCTTCATTTAAATATACAGGTATAAAAAAGAAAAACGAAATTATTGGGCATTATTATCAGTCCCCACCATAACATCCTTTGTTTATACGTGTATATATACAGTATATATCCAGATTTTATTTATCTACCCGTTGGGATTTACCCAAGACCCATCACTGTCTAAAATACTTCGTTTTAGAGATACAGGTTGTAGAAATTTCATTTTTATTTCGGTTGTTTTTTCAAAATTTCGTGTCTGGGTGTTTTTTGACATGAGAAATTCGATTTCGATGCCATTATGACTCCTACTTGTAGGGGACGCCACCTTTCTTTTCAAGATCTAAATTCAAAAAAAATCGATACACACGTCCTTAAAAATACACAGTAAATTTTAGGTACTTTTGGTGCATTTCAGTTGATTTCAACAAATTCCGACCGCAGCGCCACTCTACGGCAGAAATCAGAAACTATTATTATGTACTTCACGCCACCGCGCCGTCGTGTTAATTCCATTAAAACAATATTCAAATCGTGGTTTTGTCATAATATTTAAGTATTTTAGTTTTTTGCTAATGCAGTTATTGAGACTATAAAACATTCAATAACTAAACTTTCTCGGATATTCAATCTTCTGAAACAACATTTTATAGGTTCATAGTTTCTCATACCGATTTGATCAAAAGCAAAAATAAATTCAAGATTCAAGCAGTTCGACGAAACAAGTGAGTAAACAAAGTACTTGTTATATAATCAAAAAAATAAATAGACATACCGCCCTATACCATTTTTATTTTTTCAGAAAAATGAGATTTGATATGTTAGTATATGACATAAATTAGGATTGATTGGACATATACAATTGTTTTCGGTCACTTCCTGTTTCACCCTAAATGACTACAAATTTTTGATTTTTAAATGGCACCTTCGATATTTTTTTACCTTATTCGATAGAAAATATCACATAAATTGAATGACATATCATATGTAAACTTTTGACATACCTATTCGTTTAAAAACAAATTGCCCTTTAAATTTCAATCTAGAGTGCCATGGCTATGTTAAAAACACTAATTATTAATCAAGGACTCTTGGAAAAATAGATTTGATCGTTTAATGTTTTAGTGTCTTGTCCTGGCCGGTTAAAAGATGCCCAAATCGTATTTTTAATCATATCTCAATTTTTTCAAATGGAACGAGGGTGGTTCATTAGCATATTTGTAAAAAGAATTTTTTTACGAATAATTTGATACCACACACTTATTTCGAGTCAAATTATCGTTATGAACCGCATGTTATAATTTCAAATAAAGCATATGCGAAAATGTCAAAAGTTGACATATGATATGTCATTCTATTCAGAGTGTCATTTTCTATCAAATAAACTAAAAAAATACCAAGGGTGCTATTTAAAAATCAAAAGTTGTAGTGATCGAAACAATTGTGAAATTGCGAAAAGGAAGTGATCGAAAACAATTGTACATATATGCCAATCAATCCTAATTTATGTCATATACTAACATACCGAATCTCGTTGTTTTATCTGAAAAAATAAAAAAGTTATAGGGGTGAGCCACTTTTGAGACGCACCCGGTATACTATGAGAGGATAAAATATAATTTGCAATATTAATGGTATACTTTTTTTTAATCAATTAGATTAAATGTTTTATGAACATCTTCTAAAATTATAATTATGTACATTTAAAAAATTTCGTTATAGCCAAAATAGCCCCCAATTATGCCCCACTAGCAAAACCGGTAATTAAAACTATGCTCGCTACCGTAGTTGAACTCATCTAAAAAGTGTTTTTAACTGGAATAATAAATTATAATACAAGTTAGATCTACTGAAGATATCAAAATATTTACATTTTTATTTTTATTTTTAGAATTTTTACAAATTATACTTCCTAACACTTTTAGAATAATTAAATCGATTGTTTACGATATTCTCGGATGGTGGCAGCACCGGCAGAGAATGCACCAAGACTATATCTCTACATATTCATAAACCCAGTATACATTATTAAAATAAGGGACAAATCTCATATTTATAAAGACATGATATTTTAAATATTTAGCTAATTTTGACATATCACCAATATTATTTAATTTAATTCTGATAAAATATTTTCTTTTTAATTTTAAAAATATTCCATATTTTTTAGAATTTATGTTACGTATTTTTATTATTTATAGATTAAGAATTAATTATAAGCAATAAAATGGGTTAATTATTATAAACAATCCTAACTTTACATATCTATGCTTGTTAATAATTTAATTACATATTTATGATCTATTTCAATATGTTATATATTACAGGAATTAAAAATAGCAATAAAACTAATATTTTCCCAATAGAATCCCAATACGAATTAATGTTTAATCTCGAAAAAATTTTGGTTGATCAGGACTAGATAAAACTTTGTCGTCAGTAAAACGATATCTATATATAGAGGCTTACTATACATTTTGTTTCATTATAACTTTATCACTATATCAGTACTATATGTAGACATACAGTGGTTTTCCAGATCTTAAATACAAAATACACATTTTTTAAATTATTGAGTAAGTTTTGTTTTGATTTCTTAATTGACGTTACTAATTTATCAGTTATTTAAAAAATAATCGAAGTTTGAATTGTTAATTTTTCTTATCTTTGTAGTGATTCACTTGAATATGTGTACTTTCTGGGAATACGTATACATATCTTAACTCAGTTATTAATTTTTGAGTCAACAAGTTTCAAAATTGTAAACATATTTAAGGAGTGTGTCTAGCCATATTTAATTATCAATGTTCGAAAAACATTTTAATTGAAATAAAAAATAGTGTTAAATACTAAAAAAGCTAAAAAATATTAAGACGTGGACTCCTGGCAACTCCTGGTTGACTTTTAATGTAATCTAAATTTGCATTTGCAATATACAAAGTGAGTCTTAAATAAATGCAAATATTTTTCTGGGTAGTATAATATTTCGACCCCAGAAACATGATGTTTATGAGGTTTTTTTCGCGATTTTTTTTTGGAAAATTTGGAATTTTTTGAAAAAATCTTTTTTTTTTTATTCTTTAGCTACTTGCAATGTATAATACTATGATTAAAAAAAATAAGCACGTACAACATTGTGAAATAAAAATAAATTTCAGTCTATTGCTTTATATAAAACTTGAATATGTGTTTTAGTTTAAGTATACTTTTATAATAAATGTGGCTCTAACTTTAATAGGACATCATCTATATTTTATAATAAATAACTTTTAAGGAACTTTTTTCAACTTTATAGAGTTTCATTTTAATTCTTTTGAAAAATAGTTTCACATTTATGTATCCCGAGATGTATCCAAATATTTGAACACAACAGGGCATGAAGATATACAGGGTGAATATTAAATAAGTTCAAATATTTTTAGGGGTAGTATATTTTGACCCCACAGTAGTAGTATTTCGAGCCCTAAGAGTAGTATATTTCGTAGCACATCTATAAAGCTTTTTTGCAAACAATTTTTTTGGAAAAATTTCGAATTGTTTGAAAAACAAGTAGTTAGTTAGTAAATTAAATATACAGAAAAATATTCAGTGGTTCTCAAAATTTCAGCAAAAGTTATATATGTTTTTAATTTTCAAAGTGAAATAACTCGGTTATTTTGGTAAAGAGAAAACAATGTTTTTTTTTATCGAGATCTACCAGCCCTAAAAAATTTGAACTTATTTAAGACTCACCCTGTATATAAAAAATCTATTTTAAAAAATAATAATTTATGAAATATTCGAATATTTCAAATATAAACTTTATAGTCACAATTTTATATTGTGCTATTTTCAATCTGTCAATGAGACATAATAAAGAAATTATATTTATGGACTTATAATTACATAGATAACAAAAATTATCAAAATACTTTATCTAAATCTTACGGAATAATAAAGAATATTATAATTTATGCTGTAAAGTAAAATATCTCAATAGAACGTTGAATTCAGATGTTAAAAGTAGCCAAATATTACGAAAACCTCACCAGTTACCAGTAACGAGATCAAACTGGTTGTTTTTTATTTTTAAACTCTATAGAAATTTTTTTTCAGTCACACATTCAATTTCAGTGTTATGTAAAAACGTCCGATAATATGTATGTTTGTTATTTTTATTCATAACCGAACGCGATAATAAATTTTATTAATATAGTAAGTCTGTTATATTTGTTTTAGGATTTTTCCATACGATGATATTGCTCTACCAATTTTGAAGAAAGTCTGACAATTCAATTAGTCCAATTTCTCAAAGAGAACATCCAAAGTTCCGGTACTTGATGAGAAATCACAGGAATAAACGCATCTTGTCTACAATTCCAAACATCCAAATAGGACGCGATCCAAAACTAAATTTCCAAGGCTGGTCCAAACGCTGGATTAGAAGCTCCAAGCTGTTTAGTTTATACATTATACCAGTCAATTGAATCGAAAAAAATCGACAATAATTATTTTTGCCTACTACGAAAAGGTATTAATAGATCATGGAAACCAGCAAACGTGCACCTACAGTATCCATGTCTGCAGTGGTACCTTCCTTAGAACCTTTGCCAGCTTCGAGCTGCGTTGTGCCAATTGACAAGGAAAGAAATGATCTGAAAATTGAAAGGAATACTCTTTCCAGGTCTTCATCTCTAAGTTCAGAAGATGAAGATAAACCTGACATCCCTGATGGAGGATGGGGATGGGTTGTTGTTTTTGCTTCGACTGTTCTCTCTATGATTGCTGACGGAGTTGCATTTTCCTTTGGACTACTTTACGTAGAATTTCTTGAAGAATTTGGTGCTTCTAACAGTGCCACTTCCTGGATCGGAAGTTTATTCATGGCAGTACCACTTCTAACAGGTCCAATAATGAGTGGCTTGGTTGATAAGTTTGGATGCAGATGGATGACAATCGTTGGGGCCCTGATATCCGCTTTAGGATTTATAATTAGTTCAAACTGTTATTCTTTAGGAATTATGTACCTTACCTTCGGAGTTCTATCAGGTTTAGGACTGGGGTTAATTTACGTAACCGCAGTGGTATCGATAGCCTTTTGGTTTGATAAAAAACGCACATTAGCTGTAGGATTGGGAGCCTCTGGAATAGGAATAGGAACATTTGTGTTTTCACCATTGACCACCTTCCTAATCAACAAGTACGAATGGAGAGGAACTACTTTAATTCTAGGAGGTTGCTTTTTAAACATGTGCATCTGCGGTATGCTCATGAAAGATCCAGATTGGCTCATTGAACAGAACAAGTAATATTAAATTTTATTATTATTGCGATTAATAAGATACTAATTTTCTTATCTTACAGAAAATCTTCAAAGAAGTCACATAAATCCAGTAAAGCTAGTTTAGAGATGACAACATTTTCACAGAGCCCTGCTATTAACGTTGAAAAACTGAAACATATATTAACAAGTGGAAAAGATGTTGAATTTCTGTTACATACGGTGGAAACAACTGTAGAAAATAACGAAGAAAAAGATAAATTACAGAAATATTTCACATCCACTCTGAATTTACCAACGTTTATCAATGAAAACGAAAAGGTTTTATTTCTATATTTTTAATAATTTTTTGTGATACTAATAATTTTGATTTTAGATTCCTCCAGAAGTTTTGAAACTGTTAACTGAAAACGATGTTATTCAACAGTATTATCCCAGTTTATTTTTAAACAAGCCTAGCTCAGTTCGTCGGTTAAATAGTGTTGAAAATGGCTCCAAATATGTTAATCCTAATTCTTTCAAAGAAGCCAAATCTCAATGGTCCGATTCAAAACAAGTAATTACAAAAATATTATTCCAATTTATTTAATTCTAATTTTCTTGCAATTTTCAAGGTATCGTTGCCTGAACAAGATGAGGCATTGCCCCATGATCCTTTATTACATGGGAAACACTCTAAAGCACCAAGACACTCCTTGAGTAAGAAAGGTGCAGTTCTTGGTACTAATCGTTGGGCATCTTCTAGTTGTCCAAACATACACAAAAGTTCTATGAAAGCATATTCTGTTGAAAAAGACGAAGAGGTTAGTGCCAATTTATCATATTTGTTAATAATAATATTTATAATGTATTTGGTTGAAAATGATGATTAATAATTATGTATCCAGCATTGTTATACAATTACCAAAAGTTCTAGAGACTGTTTTCAATAGAGATGTTAACGAATTAAACTTTTTTTTAGAAATGGTACGACGAATTAGTTGAGTTAGTAAAGGGCATGTTCGACTATTCTTTGTTCTTAGAATTACACTTTTTCTTGTTATCTTTATCGACTATAATCCTTTTTGTTTGGTTTATAGTGCCGTATTTTTATGTGGCAGAGCTTATGCTTAAACATCAATACACCAACGAGGATGCTTCATTTACAATATCGAATATTGGAATTGCTAGCACTATTGGAATGGTATGTATAATGTGATCTAGAAAATAGATTTTAAGAAATATAATATTAATATCTACGAAAAACCTTTTTTTAGCAGTAATTCATTAGCAAATAGGCAAAATATTGTTACTGATTCCGTGGGTTCCTTAATTCCAAACACACGATAAAGCACTTAACCGAATATATTTTCCAACTATATACTCTATACTACTTAAATTTTTAATTACGTAAGTTTTCATTCGAGAGCTCCGTAGCATTCTTTTTGTGTCTAGAAAGTTCTTTACAACATCCGGGATTTTCCACTTTTGTCCAAGAGATGGCGCGCTACTGAATTCCCGAAAGATGTTGCCACCTTTCTTGACAATATAAGCGGTTTTACGCTCTTCCGACAGATGTCGCCATACCCCTTTACAATATATAGTCCGTCTAGAAAGTATCCGGAAAAAAAGAAAGCAAAATTACAATTATCGATATATATTTTTAGAACTTGAGTTAAAAAAATTATAACAAATTGCTAATTTTATTTACTTATACAACCTCCATTTAACTCCAAACACTTAACTAAACGGTTTCGAAACTAGGTCCACACCATAATATTCAGTGGCGGTAGTCCAGGCCTGTAAAACTGAGCGAATCAAATCTTGTTTATTTCGTGAAGCTGCTCGTTCCACTTCAATCTTCATTAGTTCCCATATGTTTTCAATGGGACTAAGGTCTAGTGAAGCTACTGGCTATGGAATTGTTGCCAAATGGTGTTCTTGCATCCAAGCTTGAGTACAGGCAGACGTAGATATGGCATCTTGCATTATCCTGCTGAAATCGCCACCCTTCTGGATATAAAACATGAGCCGTTTCAAGAAGAAAACCATTTAAAATATCACAATATTTTGTACTATAAACAGTTCCATTAACTATACACAGAGGTGACAGCCCTCGTATCTCTGTTATTATGGATGATATCGAGAAGCTGAAAACTGATTCTTATAGAACTTTTACGTAGAATACAGTGACGTAGTCGGTTTTTCTACGAAAAAAATATTTTCGAAGATATGAACTAAAGTTATGTTTTTTCAAATAGAACACCTTGTATATTTATAAATCATATGATCCGCCTTGCTATGAGCTTTTTAAAAATATATCACTCTATATTTGTTTTCACTATTTACTGCAATATTTAAAATATATAATTTTCTTATTAGTAGGCCGAGATAAATAACAAAAAATCAATCCAAAATGGTATTTACTAAAATAGTCATACAAATATTAAAATTTTATTTGGAATTGATATATTTTACTTTTGAACTATTACCTCTGAATCTCTGAATATACTTTTCTTTTTTTATAACGGAATTTATTATAACGGACAATATCTAAAAGCTTGCATTATTAAAGCATTTTCCAGGTGTTCGACATTGTCTTAGTTGCCACGATATATTTCATATTTCCAAAAATCCCCAAAATCAGAAATCGATGGTCGATCATATGGATCCATTGGATCCATTTCATCGATTTGAGAAATAATAATTTAACAAAATTCTAGTATTTTCGTTGTATGTTAAGTTGTGAGGGGAAGCCCCATCTTGCTGAAAGTATATTTCACATAAATTAGCTAAAGGAATATTTAAAAGTCCCGATACGATAGCTTCCTAGATTTACAAACAGCGGTAGAGAGTTAAGTATCTCTAATATATAAAGAATTTATTAGTGGCACCCAAAATAAAACAAGAGACAGATAGCAGTATACTTTTAATAATTTCTTAGTTTCTTTTATTATCAATCATGGCCTACTAATAAATTTGATCGTTTAATATTTTTTTAAATATTGCACTAAATAGTAAAAATAAATATAGAATGATATATAATTTTGAGAAGCCTATGTCAAGTCAGATCATATAATTTATAAATATTCAGGGTGTTCCATTTAAGAAAACATAACTTTAGTTTATATCTTTAAAAATATTCTTTTCGTAGAATAATCTACGCCACTGTATTCTAGTTCTGCAATAAACAGTTTTCATCTTTTCGATACCTTTAACAATAACAGAGATATAGGGGGTGTCCCAAATTGCAAAATTTTCAAAAAGACCCTGTAGCTCTGAAACGAAGAGGGCTATGAAAATTTTGTTTACAGCATCTTTCGTTTGACAAAAAAGTGGCATAGGTTTGTACAAACCGCACCCTTCTATCTTTACGAATAACGGGGATACCGTATGATTTCAACTAAAATGGGACATCCTGTACATAGTGATGTAGATTAGTGAACTAATATTTTTTCAGGCTAATAGATATTGAAATATAAAACCTATTGACAGAAATTGCTTTAGTTCCCCATAAAAACAATATATCGTAGTTAACAGTAGCCGCACATAAACAACAATCAGTAGCAAAGTTAATGTTAACTACCTGCATACATCGAAGTGGTAGAAACGTAATTAGTTTAGAGAAATACTGCGTCGTTGAGAACGCCCAACTATAAATTATTGAACACTCAGACAAACTAATTTGCCAAATGCAAAAATACAGCTTGTTCCGTTAATTCACTGAGTTTGTATTGAGAGACAACAAAATATTTTGCGTTTATGACTATTGTTGTTTTTACAAAATAATATTTTCTAAGATCATAACTGTTATAAACTTGTTTACTATATTTCATTCGTCGGAAGAATGAAAAAAAAAACAGAATGCTCACAAATCACTTAAAACGAGAACACTTTTTGAATGCTTTTTTCACAGATACATAGTAATCTTTGACATATTAATATTACGTCATTAATTAAAGATAGGTATATTAATATAATCTAATAGTACCTGTTTTCCATCTTTTCTTTTTTTGGCATTATCTACTAGAAAGAGGTGAACTATAAAAGTTGAAGGAGTTCATTCACATATTTAGGAACGGTATTTATAAGAAACCTAAATACAAACAAAAATTAATATATAAAATAATGACAGGAAATAGATATACATACATACATACTGCCATTACTCGCTGGCGAGTATTTGACACGCATCAGAAGATGGTCACGCAAGGCGTTTTCTTTCATGAGCTTTTCTGTGACTGAAAAGCCCGATACGTGATGTTATCTGTCTACCGCACTCCAGACATTCAAAAATCTCATTGCTTTGTTGCCTCTTTACTTTTTGGTTGTCGCTGTTAACTGACTTTACAATTCTTCTCCATTCCGTTCTATTGTGAGCTGCCTCTTCCCAGTCATTCTGCTTGTTAATTCCCTTTAAGTTTTCGTGGAAAATATCCTTGAACCTTTTGAGTTGTCCACCCGGCCTTCCCTTACCGTCTACAAGCTCACTGTAAAGCAGAGATTTGGGTATGCGGTTTTCTTGCATTCTGCATACGTGACCAGCCCATCTTAAGCGAGACTTTGTAATCATGACTTCAATACTCTTACAGTTAGCTTTTTCAAGGACCGATACGTTCGAGACATGATGGAACCATTTTATTCTTAAGAGTTGTCTAAGATGTCTCTGTTGCAACTTGTTTAATGCGTTCATGTGTCGGCGGTACGGCACCCAGAGAACTGTTAGGAGCAAAAACATATCTTAATGTTTAAAAGTCAGAATGTACGAAATAATAATACAAATAGTACTATACCGGGTGGTGCATCGTCATTGGAAACATAGGAAGAAGCCATGGAAACAAGTTCAATTGTCGTTGCTCTTAGAGATGTCAAACTGTCACATCCAAACTTAGTAAATTAAAGTAAACAAAAATTGTAAATATGAACTTTTCAAATGAAGAAAAAGAAAAGCGTGTTGGATTATCGGTTCAACTTTTCTTGGCCATACATTTTCGAGGATTCATTCACCGGTGAGCGTTACTTAGTTTTTTAGAGAACGATTTTTAATACACGTTAGAAAAGTTAAATTTAGATACTCGCGCATCAAAAAAATGGTTTCAACATGACTTTCATTATGACCCCCCCCCCCACATAATGAATAAAATGTTAAAAATTATTTATATCATAATTATGCAAACTCAGGGATAGGAAGAGGTGGACCAATTGCATAGGCCCCCTGATCAGGGATCACCTTCAGGTTTTTTTTATGCGGTATGGTTGACAATTAGAATCACAAAAGAACTTATGAATTAAGAGAGGCACTCGAAGAGGCGGTAGAAAACTGATAAAGTCGACCGGCCATT